AAAATGCTATTAATTTTTCACTAATTCATAATTATCTCCCCTTGGAAGAGGGCGTGGCCTTCATTTGAACAAACTTGAATCCCCTTCACCCAAGGATACTTTGTGTCAAGTTTGGTTCAAATTGGCCTAGTGGGTGGTTCTTGAGAAGAAGATGAAAATGTGAAAAGTTTACGACGACAACAACGACGACAGACAACGGACAAATTTTGATCAGAAAAGCTCACTTGAGCCTTCGGCTCAGGTGAGCTAAGAAAAAATGTGTGGCAGAGTCGGTGAGAGGAACCGTATAAATCATAGAAAAGCAAAAACAATGTGCATCAGTGAAGTCAATCACTTGCACTGCGTAAGTATCAGAAAAGACATTACTAATGCTGGTGAATTAAAATACTAGTAATTCAAAATATCGTTCAAAACAGCAGATCAAATATACATCGATTCAAAATTAAAATGTTAGTGTACCGGGAGGGGAGAGAAATGCAACGGATCAGACCGGAATTAGAATTCGGTCTGAATGTGTCGGTCAGCTGGGTTTGATCGCCAGTGACCAGATAGCTCAGCCGCCAGACCACTTGACCGGAGATTCAGGGGGGGGGAGGTTCGAATCCCGGTCTGGTCCGTTACATTTCTCTCCTCTCTCGTTACTTAAGTAATTGCATATTTTCTGCTCTCAACAATGTATCAAATTTTTTCATGTGCCCGGATCGATAGATCGGGGGCGTATATTGTTTTTGTCCTGTCTGTCTGTTTGTTTGCCTGTTTGTTGTTAACTTAAACCTTTGCCATAAACTTTGAACTGTGAGAAAAAAAGACTTCATATTTGGTATACACACTCCACTAATTACGCTCTTTCAAATAGCACCAATGAGAAAAAAGTCTTCATATTTAGTATACACACTCCACTAATTACGCTTTTTCAAATGGCACCAAGGTCAATGACCTTGTTACCTTGACTGTGACCTCTATGCTAAAAATAGCTTTTTCTAACTTGGTTGCCTCCAGACACATAGTGTTTCACAACCGCATGTTGTTGCGATCAGAAAAGATCATTGATGAAATCGCATTTATGCAGTAATTCAAGAAGCTATTCTATGATTGCTGAAGATATTTGTACGAAAAGTGCTTAATTTTGTTTAACTGTAAATCGATAAACATTTCGGAAAAAAGTCAAATATCTTTAATTCAATGTTTTACATCATCATTCATCATTCCTCTAAATGCAAATTGACAATGGTTTAAATGTACTTTCTGTATCGAATGACTATTTTCCAAGGAAAAAACGCTTTTATATTAGAGTCATAAAGTCCAGTTCAGACACAGTGAAATTGGTACATTTTGTCGTATGTTTCGTTTAAAGTTGCCGCATAACTCTTTCCTATTAAATATATCATTTACAAGTTATAATAACATTTTGCCAATAATCCACAAATGCCGTGACAGGTCGTAAGCACTAGTGAAGATACAATAAGACTGAATTCGTGAAGTCGAGGACCGGAGACAGCGAGCGGGGAGTTATTACTATTTTTTCTTCAGAGCAAAATAGCATGAAAGAGTTAGGCTAAACGGAACTCCTAGATTCAAAGATATACACAAGGATCAAGGTGCAGAGGTTAGGGCGTATTAAGGTAACAAAACGGTACACGGTAGGACTAGGGATGAAATAATCTATATAGCAAAATGAGTAAAGACGGAATGAATCATGCTAAAAAAGGGGGGAGGGTTAGAAAGCAGCCATGATTTCAAAACATACAGCAGTGAAGATACAAGAAAACATTGATGAAGCCATCAATTGTCGCCCGGGAAATAGATGAATTAAACAATAGAAATTACTCTTGATCATCAAACCGCTTTGATTTTTTTATAAAGACAGGCGTCTGAATGATTGAGACTATAGTGGAGAAGATTTACTGAAAGTTTTTAGTCGGATAGGGCCACGCAGTTCACTATCGCACCATCGAGTATCGACTAATAGGTCGATGGCGCGATAATGCGATGGTGCGATAACGATGAAGTGATGATGCGATGACGATGGAGCTATGGTGCGATAATGCGATGACGATGATGCAATCAAGCGATAATGCGATGACGATGGTGCGATAGAACGATAGAGTAAAAGTTAATATTGCTTCATCGTCATCGTACCATCGCGCCATCGTCATTGCACTATCGTGCCATCACTATCGCACCATCTTATTATCGCACCATCGCTTCATCGTGCTATCGCACCATCGCCATCGCTTCATCGTTATCGCACTATCGCAACATAACTTCATCGTTATCGCACCATTGCTTCATCGTCATTGCATTATCGTGTCATCGCATTATCAACCCAAACGTCGATGGTGCGATGATGCGATAGTGAACTGCATGACCCTATCCGGATTCCATAATATCCGGATTCCATCAAAATCGAACGAAAACGTTACACGTTTAAACTTTATCAATTTCTTAAGTTACTGTCGGCTGCATAAAATATAAATGAAAATCAGATACACCTATTACCAAGAAATATAACTAGACTCAATTTATGTTCTAAAAATAGGGCCTGTCGTTTTTTTCGATAGTAAATGATAAGCAACTTGTATAATAAAAATGAAGAACATATATATTTTAACGATGTACATGTATCTCAAGGAAGCCAGTATATTTTGTATATCGTAATTTATTACGGGAATGCACATTCTGATGTATAATCTTTTGATGTATATATAAAGTAACCATCAGTTCTGAACAACTTCTCCCACCTTAATTCCCATACAACAAAAATTAAACTTATATGTATAGAGCAGTCCGGCCCTCCGGGCTGCAAGACATAGAAAAAATATAAAAATGTGGAAAATATCCAGCTTGTATTGTACTTTATTTAATGTCATAAAGTACTTGCAAAAGTACATGAACTGAGAAACATTGTACACATTTGCGTGCGTACATATCCACAAGATGAATTCTATCCTTCATACTGAGAAACAATAGGTAGAAATCAATGATGAAGCAGCAGTGATTGATGATTGGCGGGTTGTCGACATAATTTGATAATTAAGAGACACTTCTCGCCTTAAGCATGATACGAGGCAATGTCAGTTTTTATGTTAAACTTCGTATTTCTGCAAAGTAACAAATATTCGAAAGCTGGCTTGTCAGTAACTTAGATTTTGACACCCCCTCCTCCAAGGTTGGGACAGTATATTGACAAAGTAAAAAAATAATAATTGAAAAACGATAAATAGAAACTGTTTTCTGAAGATTTATAGTATTATAATAATTTACTTAATCGAATTAATGCAGAAACAAACGATGACATTCTCTCTAAATAAATATAAAAGAAAAGTAATACATGTGAACACAAATAAAGGATTGAATCAAGGAGTTTAATTATTGTTCCAAAAGAAGTCATTATAAAAGCTGGAAAAAGCAAGCGCTCGTCAGAGATAGGATGTGTCGTCTTAACTGACGAGGAAAAATATTCAGTGAACAGTATTAAGGCCTTGGAAAGCGAAGCCTAGAACGAAAACTGCCCAGAGCAGCTAACGAGTTTAAGTGGACCATATATCAGTCTTTGGGGTCCTCCGATATGCTTAGAAGATGAAGATTAGTGAATTACTCAATAAACCTCAGGAGCCTTATATGTGTCAAGAGAATTCTTTATTGGGCCATGTCAAGAACTGTTACAAAGATAAAGTGACTTTCTCTCAAGACAACTGTAATTTGGTCTCTTAAACTCTTGATGAGATTTTTAACTTTAGGCGAATGAAATCGAACGCTGCAGTACTAAAACAAGTAAAAAATCATTATCTAAAAGACAAAAACCAGAAAGATTTGGATTACACGAGGAGTATTCATTACTTACTGTAGAATTGATATGTTGAGAGGATTTGATTTTCGGGCACGTCATGGGCATTTCTATCAACACGAATTCCAAGCTGACCCAATACTTCAAAGCGCTTGTCTTTTAAAAGAAGAACGCGTGTTCTTAACGCATGAATTTTTACTCATCATTTTAATGAGACTACATGTAGTAACAAGTTTACAATTTAACGTATTTTGTACATTAAGAAGCAAAATATCACAAAGTAAATGAATTAGAATTAACAAGTTATGATTCTATACTTATGAAATTTCAAGAGCAAAAGAAGTGCAGCGCAAAATTACGTTAAAAACAGTTGAATTTGATGACCAGGACAGATTCTAGAAAAAATCCCCTACAATTCTGAAGGTCTGTGTCTGATCAACTGATCTTCAATTATTGGGTCTTGGCGGGCACATTTTTTAACGACTCGCATAGTGTCTATTCAGGCGGATTGAAGAGACTCGTTACACCGGAACTGGTTCCTCGGGATACACCGATCCCAACTTTTTTCTCTCGTGGAGCCATTGTACTGAAGGAGACTTAATAATAATGGATTCTTCTAAATAAAAACAACTGATGCATCAAAAAATCTTTAACCTGACCCTGCGCCTGGGTCGGAAAATATGTTTTCATGATAGACCGATAATCATCGAAGTTTTATTTCGTATATAGAAAAAAAGAGATTTGAAGAGTATATAAAATTTTTAACAAAAGCACATTGACAGTGAAGCAAACCTGATGATGCAGTATGAAATAAGACAGAGAAATAATTTTCTGCCCTCGTAAAGTTTTTTTTCCCTTCATTATAATCTTATTAAATGCATTTGAGGTAATGTATCGATAAAGAAGATCAATATGAGGGCAGTTCCTTTACGTTTGGTTTCAAAAACAAATTATTCAAGTAAAACATCATCTACTGTGAAGTTGATCATATCATCAAAACATACATTTTGTGGAGTTAATCACGGGGCACACATAAAACGTAAGAGTAAGCTGTGGCACATTTCTCACAGTGAGAACATAACGAGAGAATGTGGTTTTGTACAGTGTCTCGTCTATTGAGACCTATTGTTGTATAGCAGTAGAAATACATTAGAGAGAGAGAGAGAGAGAGAGAGAGAGAGAGAGAGAGAGAGAGAGAGAGAGAGAGAGTTACCTGGTATTTCAACAGAAGGCCGTTTGACGTTGAGCGGTGAAGTGGGTTCCGATAAGCCCCCTCCCCCGGGCCGGAACTCCTCGGACGACCCCCTCTCTATCCTCCTTCCTAAGGATGTGGTCTGAGTGGGCACGGTGAAGGGGATTTGTTTCATACTACAAGGAAAAAGGATCATAGAATGATAGCGCCTCATCGCCAATTCCCCGTAAAGTCCACACATGTCACACAGTTTCTTTAAAATCTTCAGAGGAACATTCTACGTATATTGCAGACTTCACTGAGGCTTTCTTGTAAACATGTTTTAATTCTTATTCATGTTTTTTTCTCTGAATCAATACTACAATAATCCTGTTTTAATATGCTTTAGAATTCCGTCAGCAGTAGGAGCGCTATGATGTTACCAGAGATCGCTACAGTCTTAATCGAACAAACCGCGGACACAGAGAGTCGACTCACAGGACAGAATTCACCGCCTATATACCGGTAAAAAATCAGGTTAGCTCAACCTCCATAAAAATAAATAAAGATCTAACGACCAATTTCTCACCAGTTCAGTCGTTAATGGACTACAATGTTTAGTTAGAGGACTGGAGTTAGATGTATTTGTTCTAACGATATGTGCACACACAGCATTTGATACTTCCGTAAAAAAAGTATGAAATGGATGCGTTGATTTGAGTAAATGTTTCGATATCAGAACATCATCAACGAATTCAATTAATCGGAAGCTGAGTTTTCCCCGGTGACACGTCCGCGGAATGTCGTCTGCATTGTGTCATGATCTCATGTAACACTGGCTTATGTATATATTAATACCTGTTACAAGATAAATGTCAGAGATATCTCTTCCAATGACTTTTTAAACTCTTGTTTATTTTTAATAGTTGAAAAATACAATTATCGTTTTCTGCCATATATCTGGAGTGAAAACACTCAAAGTATCAAAGAAACGGTAAAATGCGATCTGGGTTTGTCGAGACTGATAGCTTCCATTTTTAAATCGTGGTAAACTGAAGAGCTGTAGAAACAGAGAATATAAAATGTAGCAGAAAAAAAATTAGTTCATAAATATAAACGAACAGATTGTTAAGATAAACAAGTTGTGTTTGTGAAATACTGATGCCCCCGTACGGCAGCTTATGGCGAGGTCATTGTCAAAAGGTCAAGGGTTGGTGCCCAAATGAAGGTCTTGTTATACGATATAGATCAGTGAAATATGAAATCCCTAGTTCTAACCGTTCAAAAGTTATGACAAAGGTTAAGTTTTGAAAAAGTGGGTCAAACTCTAGTCTTGTCACAATCAATACACCTGTGTAGTATGGAGACCCTAGCTTCAATTGTTCAAAAGCAATGGCCAAGGTTAAAGTGTGTTTTTTTTTCTAAAAGTAGGTCAAACTCTAAGGTCAAGAGGTCAAATTTGGTGATTTTCAAAGAAAGTTTTCGTCACAAGGAATACACGTATGAAATATGAAAGCCATATCCCCACCCACTCAATAGTTAAGGGCTAGGTTAAAGTTGACAACAGACAGACAGAGAGAAAAAGAGATCGACAGACAGGACAAAAAAAAGAGATGCGTTTGTGAAAAACTATGCACCTGGCGGCAATAAAATTCAAAAGAGCTGTGTTTAGCATATACAGTAAAGGTCAAAAGGTCATTGACTTTGGTGTCATTTGAAAGAACTTAATAAGTTCAATATATAATATGCATACCAAATATGAAGTCACTAGATATTTCCTATGATCCAAAATGTATTGTGAAAGTTCGAAAAATCTATTTTTAGCACTTTTTAAAAAACTATTTTTAGGTCACAGTCAAGGTCACAAGGTCATTGATCTTGGTGTCATTTGAAAGAACTTTATTAGTGAACTATGCAAACTACATGTAAGTATGAAGTCTCTATCTCCTATGGTTCAAAAGTTATGGCAAAGGTTAAAATTGACAACAGACAGACAAGCAGACAGACAGGACAAGAACAATATATCGATATGGGCGCATTAAACAAATTGCGTGTTGTAGTTTTTGAAGATGGCCTGGGTCAGATGACGTTGGTCTACAAACTGCGTGAGATGTCACCTGAGTGACTTAATCATGCAGATTTTCACTAAATTGACATTCACTTATATGACATCACTGCAAGTTAAATATTGTAATTAAGATTTATTTTTAACAATTGATCCTTGTTCAGGTAACAGAAGAATGGATTAAAACCTACCTGATGATAAAAAAGGCATTGGTAACATTTCTGTACATGCAATAACAGCCAATTTTACGGTGAATTTCATTTCAAATGTAATTGATAATGACCTGTAGATGTGGAATAAACACTTAAGAAAAGGTACTTGGACACAGATTTGAAGTTATTATTTTCTCTATAATATTACGACTTATATATTTTAATAGCATTTCACACAAAAATTAATTAAAAAATCTTATTTCGTTTAAAAGATATTGAAATTTCAAATTTTTCGGCGGGTTTGATTGACATATCCTTGCACTCTCACAAATTTAATTTTATTCTTAATCTTTAGGAAAAGTGGCAATCTCGTTTTGTATAAATGAAAAATATTAATACTATAATCCAGAAAATTCAGAGTAGACACGTTCGAAAGCAAAACAAACACACAATATATTGTCAGTCCGTGCAGTTGTGGTAAGCAGACTGTGACGATTGAACGCACCCGGTGAATTCTAAGTATAAACAATAACAGAACTCGAGCCCTGTTTACAAAAACTGTGTACATAACACGAGTGTGCTCGATTTGCTAAACTCTGTACGCATCTCTTAGTTCGGAATGACGATACTTGTGAAAGTGTTTTGCTTTCTAACATTTCTACTCTGAATAAAATTATTTTTCTGGATTTAAGGTTTAATATTTCTCAATAATACACGACAAAATTGTCTTTTTTCCTATGGATTAAGAATAAAGTTAACATTTGTGAAAGTGCAAGGATGTGTCAATCAAACCCGCCAAAAAATTTAAAGTTTTAATAACTTTTAAATGAAATAAGATTTTTAATTAATTTTTGTGTGAAATGCTATTAAAATATATAATTCGTGATATTACACAGAAAAAATGAGAAAATATTAACTTCAAATCTGCGTCCAAGTACCTTTAAGAATTTAATTTACAATGTGGACAAATGGGGGAAAATATGTTCTCTCCATCATAGAGAGAATTTTAGGTCACTCGCGCAAACAAATTAAAAAGTTGTATAAATGATTTACAATTCATAAACCGATTCGTATATATATAATTTATATACAAAAATTGTCTAATATGAAATAAATCTGCAAATTGACATTTTATTAACTTAAGGGGGATGTACGGCCACCTTTAGTGCTGTGAGAACAAAATGTAAACATTTCTTCAAATGGCTAAAATACATCATATTTTGATCAAATTTTAAGTCCTTATGATAAAGATACAATAAATATGCATAACTGAATGCATGTTGTGCATATACCCGGTATAATCTATTTTTTGCAGATAAATACTTTTGATATGCTCCGTAGAACTGCGCAGCTACAGAATTCAGCAGGGCCTTAAAAAATCTAAAAAAAATATGCAAACTGTGCATCAATGTTCTCTCTACAACCATTTGTTGAGAAAATGTCTAAATTTTGCACTTTTAAATGATAATTTCAAGTTCCAAACAAGGTATCGTTGTCTTCATAAAGAGTTTAAAGAACCATGAAAGTAGTTCATGCATAGCAGCACGTGGTCTATTTTTAGCACAGAATTTTGTTTTCCAGACCTCTTCTTAATATGGAGGGACATAACAATCTTTAAATGTAGAAGAGAATGACAGTTGCAAAATATTTCAAATTGTATGAACACTTTTAAAAGAGGAAATGTGTTATAGTATGGCTTGAAGTAATTTATTTAGTATTATTATCGAACAGTTGTTAAATAATGTACTTATTGATATCAAAGAAAAAAATCTTAAACTCTTTGATTCCAGGTAAGGAAAATGAGCACCATCAAAGTTAAGAATTAAGAGTTTGTAAGTTTGCCACAGATAACATATAATATATATCAAAATTTTAATTATCACCAATGAAACACAAAGAAATTAAACACATAAAATCGATATGAATGACCTTGATTTAGTACCTACTTGTAAAGGGGTGATCAAAAAGTTCGCGAACTATCTCTATATCTACAAAACCACAATTCAGATTAGAAACAAATTTGGTGCACACATAGCCAAACACAAGTTCTATAAAATAGCATATGCTGAATAAAGTTTTGCTCATAATGACGTCATTATGCAGGTACTTGTGACGAAAAATGGTTGCCTCAGTGGAACTCGTTTAACAAACGACTAAAATATTTATGGTATATCTTAAAAATGCCTTTGAAGTAGCATATAAGAATTTGTTCATAATTTATTAAGACAAATGACTTCCTACAAATTCAATCAATGATTGGATAGATCGTTTTAGTGAAGGAAGGCAGATGGTTAAATATGATACTTGTTATATTGCCCAGTGATATATTAGCAAGTTTGAAAAGGGATGTGTTTTTAATTAAGCAATATGCTATCAAAGACCTCCAATTTACACTTTGAAAAATACTTGAATATTTCAACAATAATATAACTATCAAATACCTAAGATATATCGTTTACTTTTTGATCTACCATCGTATAGTCTGTCAAATAAACATTTACAATTTTGATTTTAGCGGAGCAACATTTGAAAAGGAATGAAATCCTTCAGAGTGGGTTAGGAGATTTAATGAATAAAAAACTTTTTCTATTTGCCCTTTTTGTCAAAATTACAATTTTACAGTAGTAAAGAAAAAAATCAACATTAATAAATATTTTATACCATCTTTAAAATGACGTTTGGTGGTCCTCCCAACTCAGGAAAAATTATTACACGTATTTATAGGTGAGAAAAAAATTCCTAAAATTTTAAACATATTCGTTGACGGAAGAAAAAAAAAACATGTAATGGGATGTAAAAAAAAAATGAGTCGGGCCATTTCTAGGCAGTAGATCGGGAGAGAGGGCAACCAAATATTTTTATAACAAATTGTCTTATAAGGCTAGTACATGTTCCATCACATACATAGTAATGCAAAATTTTTTAATCTTTGGCACTATTTTTAAAAACAAACATAGGATTTTTTTTTGGGGGGGGGGGG